AAATGCACAACCCTGCCAAACGGTCCCTAAGTTTTTTTTTTTTTTTTGCCTTGCAAATCTAAAGCTAAATCGCATGATTAATTAGTTGTATATTTTCTAATTACTAACTTAAGATTGATTAACAAATTGCCAAAATCAGAACTCTCGACTGCTTCTTCGTTGGTTATGGCAAAGGAAAAATAAAATTCTTCGTTGGAGATCCCGACTCAATACTTGACATTGTAAGCTGATATAGTATATATGCATAAGCAATCTTCACATTTATATCTTTTCATCAATTATTATTGATTTCTTTCTTTGTGTTGCACATTTTGATTTTGAAACTTTGCAGATACCTGGTGATATGGTGGTGAATTCTATGCTTGTAGCAATGGCTACGCATACAAATCAACCATCTGATAGGTTAATTTATCATATTGGTTCATCACGAAGAAATCCACTGAAATTTGCAAACATGAAGTGGTTTATGTATCGTTATTTAACTAAAAATCCTTTGCTTGATTCGGAAGGGAAGCCTATCAAAGTAGAGGAAGCCAAAATATTGGAAACCATGGCAAGCTTTCACAGATATATTGCAATCCGTTACATGCCATTTATACAGGTTAGTTTATTGTGTTTGATAGATATTATTGAGAAAATATGTATTTTAAATAGTGATATGATGGGAAATATGTGGTTAAAAAGTAAAGAAAAGTTATTGATACGATTGAAAAATATGTGATTGGAAATGAGTTTTGAAAAAATATATTTTTAAAAAATGTGTACCAAACAAGGGTTTAATCTTTTCTAGTAAAATCAAATTTTGATAATTACTTGGCTTTTCCTCGTAGTATATATACATAAAAAGACTTGATGAAAATCCGGTCACTATCTTTATTATTTAAAATAGCATTTGATTTTCTGTTTTCATTTTCTACTTTACAGAATACTTAAATCAAGTACAAACTTATAACATAAAACTCAAAACACATTTTTAACGGTTTTAAGTGTTTTCAGTGAAAATTCCGCAAACACTAAAAACATTGTAAAAAACCATTTAAATAAAATTTTAAAAATTACAAATATTACAATATTAAAATATTAAATTCTAACAAATTAGATTTTTTTTCAAAAAAATTAAACTAAAAAATAAAAATAAATTTTTTGGAAAAATAAATCTAAATTCGAAAAAGATAAATTTCTAAAAAAATAAAAGATAAAAATTCTGAAAAAAAAAAAGAAATATTCAAGCTTTTAATGATTATTTATATAAAAATTTAAAATAAATTATTTAAATGAACACGAATAAAATATTCTCAATCAACGTCATTAGTTTTTGTTTTTATTTCCTATATTTTGAACTCAATTTATTTTTGATTTTTATTTTACTTTTGTAACGAGATAAATTATTGTAAGATTCATCGACTTTAAAATATATATAATTTGTACTATTTTTTGAATAACAAAATTCATGGAATAAATTTTTAAAATAATTTTTCAAAATTTCAATGCAAACATATTTTTTTGTTTTCTGTTTTGAGAAATATTTTTTCGAAATGACAAATCAAACACTTTTTAACAATCTTAAAACAAAAATTCAAAACTTAAAATTGAAAACTGAAAATAAATTCAAAACTTAAAACTGAAAAATGAAACATAAATTAAACGGGCTCTTAACTTCACGAGTGTTCATAAAATATCTCACAAGTTTTACATATAATTTTCTAAAATAGAGGAAAATGACAAAATAAAATGAGAGAATCTAAGCAAAAAATAGGAAAATGCCGAGTCATAAACACTTACGGAAAAAATTAAAATAAAGACGAATGGGCAATAGATAGAGGTGTCAAGACGGACGGGCCGGCCATGACCCGTGAAAACCGGCCCGTGAAAACCGGACCCACGGGCCGACCCGTGACCCGTGCGGGCGGTTCACGGGCCAAAGAGGTGTAACCCGCGGGCTTCGCGGGTTGCACCCCCACGGGCCGCGGTTAACCCGCGACCCGTAAAAAAAAATTGAAAAAAAAAAAACAAAAATTAAAAAAAGGGGGGGAAAAAGCCAAAAAAAAAAAATTGAAAAAATAAAAATAAAAAAA